CTGTATACCCCCCCACACCCACTCACCCCCCCATGTCCCACACTGACACCTCAGTCACTTGCCCTGCCTTATTTCCTAAGAGAAGATCAAGTTTTGATCCTTCTCTACTAGGTACATCCAAATACTAAAAAAGAAAATTTTCTTGTAGACACTTGACAAATTCCCATCCATCCAAGCTCTTAACACTATGGCAGTCCCAGTCTTCTTTTTTTTTTTTGGGAAGTCGAAATCCCCTCCCATTGCAACTTAGTCAGGAACTTGAAGGGCAAAATCGAGCTGTTAGACAAACTTGTAAAATTCCAATCGATCCATTTACCCAACCCTTCAAGCATTACCTGTCCTGTGTATGGGAGAATTTGTGGATTAAGCATTGCATGTATCTGCCACCTCAGAACCCATTGAACTAATCTAGAAGCAAATCATCTTTGATTCCCAAGGTACTGTATAAGAAAATACTTCATTAGCTGTAAAGCACTTTGAGTTAGCCAGTGGTAATGGTGTAAATGTAAGACTTTTTTTTTTACAAAACCCATGTTAATGGGGGAGTAGTTGTGCTATGGTTTTGTCTTGGAAAGCATTAATGCTTCCACCATCAAAAGAACTCTGCACCGCTCTTTGAATAATCATTTGGGATTTTGTGCACTTTGGTTTAAAGTCTTAATGGCTGCACTTTTAAAAATGTAGAACCATCTCAATCCTGCCTAAAACATGCCAGATGAAATACTCCAGGTGCTTATAGCATCTATGGAGCACTCAGTCTCTTAACTTGGATAGAATATGTTAAATGAACCAAACTCACAGACCCTTCCCCTGAGAAATAGCTGGTAACCGATTTGTTTAACTTAGTCTTGGGAACAAGACCAAACAAAGTATCTATAGTTAGTGAATTGGATGCAAGGAGGAATCCCAGCTTGACCATTATACATTGGTACGAATTCCTGTATTTCGTGTGGAAATGAGATCTTAAACACATTATCGCAAATAGAAATTTGGCAAAAATTGATTCTGTAGTGACATTTTGGGTATAATTTCTTAAAGATGGAACTGATTTTCCTGTGTTCCAGGTGGAAGGGGTGTTTTATGTCAATGATACCCTGGAGAAATTGATGTTTGAGGAGCTGCGAAATTCATGTCGTGGAGGAGGTAACAACAAATTACAAAGTATTAGTGACAAGTAATCAATTCAGGAGCTAGATTGCACGTGATAAAAAGATTTCATGTGTAGAATCTCGAAATAGCATTTGCTGAATGTGATTTGGCATCATAGTTTGGCCTTGGTGTTGGGGAGTGGGGTGACATTAGATAGCAGAGTTATACTCTTGCTCATGAAGCACTATTAGTCAATGATGAATGTATGTTGAAGGAAACTATCATTCTACTAATTTGCTATCATACTAGTAATGACATATTGTACAAGTCACTAGACTATTAGTCCAAATGCCTGGCCTACTAATCCGTAGGCCTGTGTTCAAATCCCATCAGAGCAGCTGTTAATTAACAGGAATCAGGAATCTAAAGTTAAATTCCCCAACTTCTTGAAGGTGATTTGTGATGGCCTGACCAGCATTAAATATGTGAAGTGAATGAATTAAAAAGAAGTTCAGACAATGAGCTGAACCTGTGGATGTAGCAACAAAGTGAAAGGCATACCAGGAAATACGTGTCCTGAGATTTACTCTCACTATCCAAGGGCCTAAGTTTTTGTTTTCTGTTATTAATGCCAGGTCTGCTCCTTGATATCTTTCTGTGAACATAATTTTAACTTTTTAGCTAATATTGATGCTTGCTAGATCATGTTTATATATGTTTATCTTAAATGATGTAGACAATAGCACATTCCCACATCACATCTGTGTGATTTTGTTCATCTAGGATCTTTGCTTGCACATGTAGATTAACATTGTTGGCTTACTAGAGCCATGACGTCAATGTGTAAGGCAATGTAGTCTCATCTGTTTTTTTGACTGCACTTGCAAATTTGGTATGATCTGGGTCCTCGCAGAATGGATGGCTCAGAGCATTTTTTTTTTTAAATTGATGAACTATTCCTTTTCAATTGCTTTGTCATTCAATATGCATCTTATTACTTACAACTACAGGAAAGCTAAAAAGGCTGATCCTTGTTTTCTTCTAGGTGTGGGTGGTTTCATGCCAGCCATGAAGCAGATTGGAAATGTGGCAGCATTGCCAGGGATTGTTCACGTGAGTTGGTGTTTGCTTAACTTCAGATTAGTTGCTTTGTGGAACACTTTTGCAAAATCAACTGAATGTAATATTACAAAGGAAAATTTATTCTGACTGTGCTGGTTGTTACATGAGAATAGAGATCTGAAGTAGGTGTCAAAAAGCTTGACTAATAGAATAAATCAATCAAAATAATGTAACTTCTAAACTTTTGTTTGTGAAACATTTATATTAACTTGTGGGCTGTTACAATTGCAAATGGATGCACTTGTATGCTGGATTTCTGTGAATTGCACATGGTAAAATGAAATGATAAACTCTTTCTACTTTTGTATTGTAGAATTGAAGGGGAGTAAATACCTAGAAAAGATTTTTGCATTGCTGTGTTGTGGAGATATTCAAAATTCAAATTCAAATTCAAATTAATCAACAGATTGTTCTGGTCTGACTTAAATTTTGTGCTTGTGAATGCTGTTGTATTCTTGGGAACAGATTTTTTTTTGAAAATAGATTGCATCAAAATGTGAAATGTATCTAAATAATATACAAGTTGTCTGCTATAATGGGAATTTCACATAAAACATGAATTAAGATTAATGACAAGGTTGCATTTGATGTCGTGGTTGCAAGCTGGCATTATGAAGGGTTCTGATCTAATAATAGTTCGAGACACTGTCGCTTCCTGATCCACGATGGTTGTTAGGCCAAAATTTGTATCCTGGCTTGATACTTCATTATACGATTAGATATTTGTAGATACAGAATTCTTCATAAAGAAGATGCTTTAAAGTGTAGTTTCTTTTACTGAAACTTAAAGCCTTCAGGATGAAATGGTTAGAAATGTGACTACAAGACTGCACTTTTTAAAAACTTCACGAAATATTGCAGGTAATGAGTTTTTAATCCAGCAGTTAAAACTATTCTAGAATCTAGCAGAATTCTTTGTGCCTGTGGGTTCTGATGTATTTGTTTCAGACCGCATTTCTAGTTATTGAAGTACTGATCTTATTAATTCTTTCCAAAGAAATCCATTGGACTCCCTGATGTCCATTCAGGTTATGGGTTTGCAATTGGAAACATGGCTGCCTTTGACACGAATAATCCTGATGCCGTGGTATCACCAGGTAAAAACAAAAACAAACCTCTCTGGATGAGTTGATGCAGCCTTTCAACTGTAGAACATTTGATAAGTTGAGGGTCTGAGCTTTTTCTTAATGACCTGCATTAGATTGGTTGGAGTACATTCGATTAGAAAAGTACATGAATACAATCATCTTCATGATTCCTATATAATTGTCTCCTTTTTTTGGGACTGTCTTTGTGACAGTGCCAAAGCATTATATGAGGACAAGAATATCAACATGCAGCCCATGAGCTTCTCTGAACAGGCCCTGAAAGCAAACTTCAGAAATTTTGAACTCTAGCTCTTTATAGTTCCTAGGATGTAAATAGTATGGCTCAATTTACGGGCTGTAACCTGTGAAGTAGCTCCTCTAAATCTGGTTTTCCAAGGTTCTGGGTTTGGAAAAGGGAAGGAAATGGTGAAGGAGAATTTGCAGGCTTCAGTCTGAAGATGTCTTGCTACTTCTGAATTTGGAGGTTGTGCCACATCTTTCTGTGAGGGACTTTCAACTTTTGTGTTCAGGGACTTAGATTGCTGATCATCACAAATTTTAAATAATTGGCAAAAGAAGCAGAGGCGACGTGAGGGAAATCTTTTTCTGTAGCGAGCGGTTAGCATCTAGAATGCAATGCCTGATAGTGTATTGGAGGGCAGTGCAATCAAGACTTTATAAAAATGGTGTTGGATTATTGTATAAAGAGACGATTTGCAGGGTACTGAGAAAAGCAGGAAAGTGAAACTAGTTGAATCATTCCAGCATAGAGTCAGCTCTGACAGATGGGTCAGATGAACTGCATTCTTAACACCGATTATTATTGTTTTTTTATTTGAGTCCAGTTGTGTGCCTTTCCTAGCCAATGTTTCCTTGCAGCACAAGGACAGTTTCATGGTCATAAGCCATACATTAGTTTGTTCTAGATCTGACTGTTCCAGTTCTGTCCTGGTCGTCATCCTGTCTCGCCGCTCTCCATATGCACAATTCTCCACATCCAAAATTCTGCAATACGTATCCTAACTTGCACCAAGTCACTACATCCATCCCCGTTGACCTAAATTGATACTATGTCTGTCTATGTTCACTTTTCATGATGTCATTTTCCCCTCCCCTCCCCTCCCTGCACCTCCATCGCACTCCTCCTTGTCTTCCTGTCCCTACAGCCTCATTGAGCCCCGTAACACCCAAGGTCTTGGTGCCACTCCAGTTCTGGCCTCTAGCCACTCCGATTTTCCATTGCTTCGACGTTGGTGACTTGCCTTCATCTCTTGCTCTTGCTCTCTCTCCCCTCCTTCCCCTCCCGTTTAGGATGCTCCATACAACCGCACTGATCAACCAAGTCTTCTGTCCTAATATCTGTTAGTGTGGTTTGATGTTCCATGTCTTTTTTGATAAGCACTTCTGTGAAGCACTTGAGGGTGTCTTCCTATGTTAAAGGTGCTGTGGAAGTATATGTTGTCATTATTAATCAAGAGCCGAATTTTACCTGTCCCTAGTCCAGTCTCCCTGGCTAAGATCAACTAGACCGCGTAGTCCTCGCCAGTACTAACTTGCAGGTTCAAGAAACACTTGCAAAGAACAACAAAAACATAGTGACTCAAGCAGAGATTGCTGGAGAGGTCTAGCAGCATCTGTGGAGAGGACAGAAGTTGGTGTTTTGAGACCAGTTCTGAAGAAAAGTCACTGGACTTGAAGTTTTGATTCCGCTTTCTCTCTGCAGTTGCGGCTGGCCCTGCTGAGCTGCTCCAACAATTTCTGTTTTTGTTTCGGATCTTCAGCATCTGCAGTTCTTTGCTTTATTTTCATAAAAGGAGAGGTGTTTTCAGGGACTTTAGAAATTACCTTCACTACCTTGTATTCCGCGATTATATCACATCTTGGTCAGAGCCCATTTGGAGTAACAGTTCTGCTCTGGCCACTGCACTTCAGGAAGGATGTTTTGATGTTGGAGGGGTGGATGCGGCAGAATGATGCTGGGTGCTGAAAGGGGTTGCTTAAAGAGGACATGGTACATAAATGTAGCCTATGCTCGGTCAAGTTTGGGTGGCCTGATCAAGGTGTTCAAAATGTTTGAAAAAGAATTGACAGGAAGAACAGTGGCTCAGTGGTTAGCACTGTTGCCTCACAGCGCTGGGGACTCTGGGTCAATTCTGGATTTGGGTAACTTTCTGTGTGGAGTTGCATGTTCTCCCAGTTTCTGCGTGGATTTCCTCCCACAGACAAAAGATGTGAAGGTTTGGTGGAGTGGCTATGCTGAATTGTGCCAGTGTCTTGGACTGTGCAGGCAGGGCAGTTTAGCCATGGTAAATGTAGGGTTGTGGGGACTAGGTCTGGATGGGATGCTCTTTGGAGGGTTGGTGAGGAGACTCAGTGAGCTGAATGGCCTTTTTCTGCGCTGTAGTGATTCTGTGTCTCTATCTATACTGTTGTTGTTTTCATGCATTTTACTCCTGCATCCAGATAATTGGACATCTCTGCAAGAGAAAACTAAGCTTCAATTCCATTTTCTATTTGATGTGCATATTCTTTCAAATCCATGTTAGTACTAAGGGTTTTTGTTTATGAAGACCTCTGAATTGAGCAAAGCATACGTTCGTTCACGTACCTGATTTTGGGGAAGGGTGGGCTGTGGAAATGAGGAAATAATGTTGTAAGAGCATTATTTATGAAAGTATATTTTGTTTTTGTAGGTGGTGTGGGTTTTGACATCAACTGTGGAGTGCGTTTGTTGCGTACCAACCTTGATGAAGGGGATGTGCAGCCAGTAAAGGAACAACTGGCTCAGGCCATGTTTGACCACATTCCTGTAGGAGTCGGATCCAAGGGAGTTATCCCAATGGGTGCCAAGTAAGAATGCTGTGCACGGACTTGAAAGAAGGGAATGTGAAAGTTTTTTTTATTTTTGAAGGGGGAAGATCAGGAGACAATGAGAAGTTTTGTTGCGAATTACGTATTTAGCAGTTATCACCTTCTGAGTACAGGTTCTTAAAGGAATGAGGTTTTGGTGTTGTGGTCACCATGTTTGTTTCTGAATGGTGTTTAAATATATATAAATATTTACATGAATGGTTAGTCTTAGTTTGACAATGTAGTGACAAATTAGTTTGTTAGTCAGAAATGACAGGTTTTTAAAAATCTTCTGTACTGCAACATGTTTTCTGTATTTCAGTCTACTTATGGAGATGAATTTTCCCTTTCTCTTTAAGAATGCTTTTTTCTTTCTGTTGCAAGTAAAATAAATTTCCATACCAAATAATACCTTTTTTGAATTACTTTAGGCATTGGATCTATCATGCCCTTCTACACATTCTTCCTTCAAAACTGGTTAACCAGCATTTGCCCTAGACTTTAAATTCCCAAAACATTTATTCAAAGTTTTATTTTAGAAAAGAAAGAAGCAGCAACAGAAAAGGAATTTGTAATAGTTAAACTTTATAAGCTGCACATTTATAATGGGAATTTTTTAGTGCAAATTTGGGAAATTGTTATTTCTAATTTTTATGTAGTTATTAATGTTTTTGCAGTTACAGTTAATGTTATTTGGTTTAGTTTCTTTGATGCTTTCTGTCAGATGAGTTTTTTTTCCCCCAAAGACACCTAGTCAAACTGAGTTTGAAAAGCATAAGCTAATGCTACCTAAAATCAGTAACCAACTGGTGAATTCAGAGAGCTGCTAATCATAGCTATTTGAACAAATGTCACAGCATGTTAATGTTTGGCTGTTCTCTTGAATGAACTGTCAGATAAAACAGACTGTTGTTGCCCACACTCTATTGACTACTTTCTGTGCTTCAGTTGTTTTTAGTTTCCTTGCATATGATTTAAAAAGACAGCAATATTGAATCATAAGATAGATTTGCTTAATTTTTGTTGCAGTGATGTAACAATTATTTTACACTTGAAAGAAATATCTAAGGAATAATCAACTTTAATCCATAGTTATTGTGGTTTATATGAAACATTGTTTGGAATGTGGGCTTGAACTTCAAAAGGACCGGAAAGCTTAGAATACTTTGAACAAAGTATTTCCCCACTCTTATCAAATATGTGTTGAAAGTACTTTCGATTTTCTACTTTTAAGGCCTGATGTTAAATATTGTTTGTCTAGTGAACCTTTACTATGTTGTACCAATTTCCAAAATAACACACAATTGTTGAATGTTAGCATATGTCATTAATTAGACCTTGTGCTACCTTGCTGACAGCTGACATTTATTTGCAGAGACTTAGAAGAAGCTTTGGAGATGGGAGTGGATTGGTCACTGAGGGAAGGCTATGCCTGGGCTGAGGATAAAGAGCACTGTGAAGAATATGGTAGAATGCTGCAAGCAGATCCTTCCAAGGTTTCTGCAAAGGCCAAAAAGAGAGGATTGCCTCAGGTAATTTTTTGTGTGCATTTTGCATGACTGAAAGTAAACATGAGACCTGTTCTGTGTCTATGCTGTAGAATTGCCCAAGAGCAGTTATTATGTCCCACTTGGAAATTGTGCTAATTCTTGAACCCAATTACTTCTGATGTTATACATAGAACATTACAGCGCAGTACAGGCCCTTCGGCCCTTGATGTTGCGCCGACCTGTGAAACCAATCTGAAGCCCATCTAACCTAAACTATTCCATTATCATCCATATGTTTATCCAATGACCATTTAAATGCCCTTAAAGTTGGCGAGTCTACTACTTTTGCAGGCAGGGCATTCCACGCCCTTACTACTCTGAGTAAAGAACCTACCTCTGACAACTGTCCTATATCTATCACCCCTCAATTTAAAGCTATGTCCCCTCGTGCTAGCCACCACCATCCGAGGAAAAAGGCTCCCACTGTCCACCCTATCTAATCCTCTGATCATCTTGTATGTCTCTATCAAGTCACCTCTTAACCTTCTTCTCTCTAACGAAAACAGCCTCAAAACCCTCAGCCTTTCCTCATAAGACCTTCCCTCCATACCAGGCAACATCCTGGTAAATCTCCTCTGCACCCTTTCCAATGCTTCCACATCCTTCCTATAATGCGGTGACCAGAACTGTACTCAATACTCCAAGTGCGGCCGCACCAGAGTTTTGTACAGCTGCAACATGACCTCATGGCTCCGAAACTCAATCCCTCTACCAATAAAACCTAACACACTGTACGCCTTCTTAACAAGTTGTCACAAAGTTTAAAGATTCAATCACATTACAAATCCTTAATTTATCTATCTCGGGCACTCAAGTTATAGAAAACACTGACCAGCTTTTAGTACTTAAAGGAACCACTACAAGCCACTAACCATAGGCAAACAAAAATATGAAAATTCAACGTATAATGCTGCCAACTGAAATTGACTCCTTAAAACCCCTACACACATGCAAAGGAACAAAAAAACGTGCATGACACTGTGCAGCTGGAGGAACACAGCAGGCCAGGAGAGGGGATCAGAGGAGCAAGAAAGTTGACGTTTTGGATTGGGACTCTTCTTCAGAAGTGGGGGGAGGGGGAAGGGGGCTCAAATAAATATAGAAGGAGGGATGGGTCTGAGGAAGGTAGATGGGATGGTGTTAGGTGAGTGCAGGTAGGCAGTGGTTGGGGATTGCTCAGTGAGGTGGGAGGAGTGGTTAGGTGGGAAAGAAGATGGATAGGTTGAGTCAGGTCAAGGAGGCGGGATGAGAGGACGGGTTGGTCATGGGATGTGGCCGGTGGGGTGGGAAGATTTTGAAACTGGTAAAGTCCACATTTAGGCCATTGGGCTGTCGGCTGCCGAGGTGGAAAATGAGGTGCTGCTCCTCCAGTTCACAATGACGCCACCCGCAAACTATAGACCAATCCCCACCACTCCCTACCTGCACTCACCTATCACCGTCCCACCTACCTTCCCCAGCCCCACCCCTTCCCCTTTCTCTTTATTTCTGAGCTCCCTTCCCCCTCACCACTTCTGAAGAAGGGTCCCGATCCTGAAATGGCAACTTTCCTGCTCCTCTGCTGCCTGGCCTGCTGTGTTCTTCCAGCTCCACACTGTGTTATCTCTGACTCCAGTATCAACAGTTCTTACTGTCTCTAAGTAGAAACAGATGTGGGTGGAGGAAAATGTATAATGGGGGAACAGTGCAATGTCACCAGTCCACAGATTTGATGAGGTGTCACTTCTGTTTTCTCTTTTTGAGCTCTGATCTTTGTGTTCAAGTCTGAAAAGTTCTTCTCTGAAGACCAAATGGTGGGTGGGGCAGGTACACCTTAGTTGTTCAGTCTCTCAGTCACTGGTTAGAGGCAACAGTTTATACTAAATGGTGGGAGAGAATCTTACTGTTTTGGTTACTTCACTGCAGCCTTTTGCAGTCTATGGATTTCCTGCCCTCTCTTGCTTACATGCTCTGGGTTCTGGACAAGTAGGCATTGAGTTGTCATTGCTGATGACTCTTGGCCCATGAAACTGATCTGAACTGAAAACCAAATCAACAGCCTGCCTCTGAAGCTTTCTTTTAAAAAGACAGGTGCCCTTGGGTTTCAATCATCTTCCCCTCCCCCACTGAATTTTTCCATTTTGGTCCACAATCCCAAGTAAAGAACAGTAAAAAGATGATTTCTTTATACAGTGTGAGGTAACTGGTTAGTTACACCAAGATTTTTCCAAGATTCACTTGTTGCATGACAATTCACGGGTATTGACTTTGTGTGCAGTTTTTTTTAATTGAACGGTTATGTTGCTATCTGTCTGCAAACCCTTTTGTTTTGATCTCTTGTTACTTTGTGTGAACAATGCCCAAATTTCTGGATAATCAAAGTTCATTGTATACAACTAATGACATACAAAGTCATTTCCTGATTTGTTTCTTTGTGTGGTGAGGTGTAGTTTTCAGTTTTTCAAAGTCAATCTTAGAAATTATACTTAGAATTGATCTTTGTGGTTGTTACAATGTGATTGTTAGGAAGCAACTAGAACTGAATTGATGCACTCTTCTTTTATTTAGCTGGGCACTCTGGGTGCTGGAAACCACTATGCTGAGATTCAGGTGGTGGATGAAATCTACAATGACTATGCAGCTCGTAAAATGGGCATTGACCACAAAGGCCAAGTGTGTGTCATGATTCACAGTGGGAGCAGAGGTTTTGGACACCAGGTTGCAACAGGTGAGATGTTTCTTTTCTATACTTACACCAGATTATCTGTATTCAGAACAAAGCCTCATCCTGGTGCTAGTATTCCAATCTAATAGTATGCAAACTGAGAATTGAAGTACAGTCACTTGAACCTGCACTGTCATTCAATGAGACCATGGCTAATGTTTGAACTTGACCTGGCCCACATATCCTTGGTCCCCTTTATTGTCCAGCTCTGTATCAATTCCAGCTTGAAAACACTTTACTGAACGTTGGTATTTCTCCTCGCCGTAGTCTTAATTGGATGATACTTTGTTCTGAGACATTGCTGTGGGAGCAGGCTTGAGCGGCTAAATGATCGACTCCTAGTGTGTCTCACCAAAGCTCAGCCTAGTGACAGCAAGTCTTTTACACCTTTGTCATCCAATCTCCTAGCAAGAAATCTGTTGGACTATAACCTGGTGTTGTGTGACTTCTGACTTTATCCACCCCAGTCCAACATCTAAGATGTTTTTAATTTGAAATATTTTTTCATTTAAAACAAAATCTAATTTATTTCTATCTGGCGATGACTGACTGCTTGGCATTTCAATAAGCAGGGATAAAAAACAAGCTTAATTTTCCTCTCAGTACAGTAATCAGTAGAGACATATCCTGTTTGAACTGTTACGTCAACATAGAATGAAGTGGCTTTTGAAGTTGTTTCAATGGAACTAAAAATGTACACTATCACCCTGCTACAGGAAGGATATTATTAAAGTGGAGAGGGTGCAAAAAGATTTACATAGATGTTACCAGGACTGAAGGTTTGGGTTATAAGGAGAGGCAGGATAGCTAGGACCTTTTTTTGCTGGAGCATAGGAAGTTGAGGGGTGACCTTTTTATAGAGGTTTATAAAATGAGGTGAATAGCCAAGGTATTTTTCCAAGAGCAGGGAGATTCAAAACTAGACGGCATTTTTCCAAGTTGAGAGGTGAAAGATTTAAAAGGGACCTGAGAGGAGGTGATTTCACAGAGGGTGGTTCATGTGTGGAATGAACTGCCAGGGGTTGTAGTCGATGCATGTACAGTTACAGTATTTAAAAGACATTTGGACAGGTACATAAGGGATATCGGCCAAACACAGACAAATGAGACTTGTTTAGTTTGGGAAACCTGGTCGGCATGAACGAGTTGAACTGAAGGGTCTGTTTCTGTGCTGTATGACTTCTATGACCATGTTGACTCCTCAAAACAGGCATTATTTCTCTTGTTCATCACATGAAGTTTACTAATGTCCCTTTGTAATACTGCTGACATGCACTGACATACAAAGGGTGCAAATTAATTTTGTAAGTATGATCAATTTGAATGTTTTAAGAAATCTATCTCTCCTTAGTTATACGTAGTAAATTGTAAACTTTACTTCATTGCAATAGCATAGTATCCATTCATTATTCATTTTGCTAGCTGAGAAGGAGCCTTGCTTTGTTTTATAGATGCCCTAGTGGCTATGGAGAAAGCCATGAAGAGAGATAATATTATTGTCAATGACAGGCAGCTGGCGTGTGCCAGGATCAATTCCCAAGAAGGTCAGGACTATCTCAAAGGCATGGCAGCAGCTGGAAACTATGCCTGGGTGAATCGTTCCTCTATGACCTTCCTGTCAAGACAGGTAGAGCTTGTGTTACACTATTATTCAGCTAACGTTACAAACTTTCTATACCAACTGCCCCTCAGTTTATTTATTCACCAAGCTACTGTTCTTGTTTTAGTTATTTTTAAGTACGCACCTCGAACAATTTTTTTTTTTAAGGGACTACTGCTAGAGACTAATAATTTGATTTGTAGGTTTGGGTTTGTCTCAGTCATTTCCAACAGTGTACCTTAACTCCTCCAGACCATTGAGGAGGTTCAGAATGGAGACAACTCATCACATCTGATTCTTACAAGCAGCTGTGGATGAAATAGCTCCTCCCTTTCTGCCTGAAACTGCACCTCCTGTACAAGTTGGTTTCATTGCTGTGTGGTTCACGTATTCAAACAGAAGATGAACACAGAATGGAACATTAGGAAATTAACTGTTTTCTACAAACTTAGCATAATTTTCTTCTGTGGTAGAATTTAATATATAGCTGCATTGTAGTGAAGAATTATTTTTATTCCTCTTTATATCCTATTTCAGTTCCATTTTCTTCTCTTTCCTCCCATTTCTCACTTCTATCTGTCTTCTCATGTTTCGTGTTTTCATCTGCTTTCTATTCCTTCTTATTGTGCACTTTCTTTTTTTCATTTCGTCTATATTTCATGCTCTTCCATTTGTTTTTGTTCCATTCCTTGCCTCGCTCTGATTTATTTCTTGTCTCATCTTTTTTCAAACTTGCTTTCTCAAATTCCTCATCCTTGCTGTATCTTTTATTCGGTACTTATTCCTTCTTCCCCTTGCACTGTCTGTATTTTAGGCATTCGCCAAAGTCTTCAACACTACACCAGATGATCTGGATATGCATGTGATTTATGATGTGTCTCACAACATAGCCAAAGTGGAGGAGCATGTGGTGGATGGGAAACAGAAAACACTGCTAATCCACAGGAAGGGTTCCACTCGGGCCTTTCCGCCACACCACCCTCTTATACCAGTCGATTATCAGGTATGGAAACTACAGAGATGAAACCTAGTTAACTAAACCTTTTATAATGTGTAGAAACTAGCATGCAATATTCTCTCTAAGCTGCATGGCTGCTGGGAAACTCCATGCACATGCTTGATATGCTGATGCATTGCTTCCATTTGGGAAGCTGTTGCTGCATACTTGGAGGTCCACACAGCAGCAGGAAAAGTTTGAGGGAACATTACTTGCATTGTAGCTTATTGTTGAGACACTTTTTGGATGCATGATGTGGAAAGGACTACTTGGCATTTATGAGATATTTAGTATGTAAAGCTGGAGCTGTATTGATCTATCAATATTAAAGTACTACATTTTAGTAAATGTTAAGACCTGCCATGTATGGAAGGTGTGCAAAAATGGGAATTGAAACAACATCACTGCAGCGATGAAAAATATTAACTAACGTTTTTTTAAGGATTATATGGATTACCATTCAGAAGATAATCTGATTGCGATACTTTCATGAAAGTACAATTGATGTGTTAACCAATTTACCTTTTGATTATAATCTCTTTAGTTGACTGGACAACCTGTTTTGATTGGTGGAACCATGGGAACCTGTAGCTATGTCCTTACTGGCACCGAACAAGGCATGACAGAAACTTTTGGAACCACCTGCCATGGGGCGGTAAGGAAATGTTCTATGCTCCACTTCACATGTTAATCGCATGTTAAATTTCCTAGGGTTTGCCTTCCTAGAATTACTTACATTTGTGCAGATCTTCACAATTTAGTAAATTACCTGATTATCCTCTGGTATTGATGGATTGCCGATTCTGATAAATATTAGAACACAGCCCTATCGAATACGTTGTGTGACTAGATTATACGACCTCTGCTATTTAGCTGTCCTGATCCTATCTTTTTCTCTTCTCATATTTCCAATGTTCTCCTGGTGATAGGATTAACGAATCTTAAAATAATTGATAGTCACCATTTTTGCTTGTTCAGTACAAGTTTTCGTCATGCCACTGCTATATACGCACTGTCGTTAACAATGGTTAACTGACCATACTCCCCAGCTACATAGATGAGCTCTAATTGCAGCATATGCTTATCTATGTTCTCTTGATGCACTGTATCTTGTTGATTTGAATGAAGCTGCAGACTTAAGCCAGTAGATCTTGCTGGTTCAAAAGGGCTTTTTAAGCATTACATAAGCTATTATTCGTTTAACTTTTTATTCTAATGCGTTGGATATCCTGCACAAGTTGGAATCCTTTATCCAAAAACTTCAGGACGAACTGTTATTCAAATAAGGATTTTTTGGTTTTGGGATACACTTGGCCCGTAAAAGCGAAGTTCTGTTTTCAAATGGGCGTGAACAGACTTATAGACATGCTGATTTTGGGTCCTTTGGAAAATAATCATCACCTTTTTTTAGATCTGTTCAGGAAAGGTTTTATTTTCTCTCTCTCTCTTCTTCACCCCACCCCCCCCACCCCCGCCCCCCCCCCCCCCACAACCACCAAAAAGGCTCAACTCAGTGAATCTACTGGTCTGTTCAAGTCTGCTTTCAAAAAGACCTTGGGTTTCTAGGTCTTTGATTTTTGGATGTGCAGAGAAAGGATACCCTGACCTTTTACAACAGAAAATTTGACTTTGTTCCGAGGTTATCAAAGTCTTGGACAGATTCAGTCCATGTTTTATAAATCTGTTGAAGTTTCTAGTGTCATTAGCAAACTACTAAAAGTTTTCCTTTCATGGGTGTGAGAATGTAACATGAAAACACTATTGGTTTAATATTTAAAACTGTTGCTTGCAACCTTCTGACATGATTAGACTTCACTTATGTGAAGTATGGAGTTTGCATATAATTTGAGTTTTTTATTTCCAGGGGAGAGCTTTGTCACGTGCAAAATCCCGACGTAACCTTGATTTCCAGGATGTGCTGGATAAACTCGCAGATATGGGGATTGCTATTCGTGTTGCTTCACCCAAACTTGTGATGGAAGAAGTAAGAATGACATTTTGCTTTTGTCTTTTTATCATGATTTCTTTCGAAATTGGTTAAATGTTGTGTAAGCAAATTACTTTCTTAATTTTTTTTCTATGCATGTTAAGTGAAATTAGTGAGAAAAATGTAACAACCCTATGTGTATTTGAATTAAGTTTCTGAATACAGTGTCTTGTTATTGTAGATATTAGTTTACCATGCAAGAAGCTCAAACTTGATTTATAAATGTAACAAAACAAGATGCAGTTTGCACTAGAAATAACTTTCCCTCTGCTTGTATGGGAAAACCTTCCCCCAAATGCCATTTCTTTGTGTTTGAGCCCACTCAGTATTAGCAGGCTGTTTGAAGGAGGTTCACCATAAACAAATGCAGTTGATCCCTCATATCAGTTGATCCCTCATATCAGTTGATCCCTCATATCAGTTGATCCCTCATCAGTTGATCCCTCATATCAGTTGATCCCTCATATCAGTTGATCCCTCATATCAGTTGATCCCTCATCAGTTGATCCCTCATATCATTTTCAGTTAGGCATTCCCTAACATTGACAGGAGTATCAAACATGAGCCAATTTCCTACTCCTCACCCTGGTAATAAGGTCAGTTGCAACTTTCCTAATTCTTTAATCAGCTGAGATCAGTTAACTCACTAAAACTGAAGAGTTTTTATATTCTTCTTCCTTTTAATACCAAATGCATAGTTTGAAGTCAAGGAGTTTGATGGAGACCTGCTCTGTGGCCTTTGCTAATGATGTACTTAGCAAGTTTGCAGATGACACTAAGATTGGTGGAGTAGCAGATAGTGAAGGGGACTGTCGGAGAATGCAGCACAATATAGATAGGTTGGAGAGTTGGGCGGAGAAAAGTTCAATCCAGGCAAATGTGAGGTGATGCATTTTGGAAGATCCAATTCAAGAGCGAACTATACGGTAAATGGAAAAGCCCTGGGGAAAATTGATGCACAGAGAGATCTGGGTGTTCAGGTCCATTGTACCCTGAAGGTGGCAATGCAGGTCGATAGTGGTCAAGAAGGCGTACGGCATGCTTTCATTCATCGGACGGGGTATTGAGTACAAGAATTGGCAGGTCATGTTACAGTTGTATAGGACTTTGGTTCGACCACATTTGGAATACTGTGACCAGAACTGTACACCACATTACCAAAAGGATGTGGATGCTTTGGAGAGGGTGCAGAGGAGGTTCACCAGGATGTTGCCTGGTATGGAGGGTGCTAGCTATGAAGAGAGGTTGAGTAGATTAGGATTATTTACATTAGAAAGACGGAGGTTGAGGGGGGACCTGATTGAGGTCTACAAGATCACGAGAGGTATAGACAGGGTAGATAGCAAGAAGCTTTTTCCCCCAGATTGGGGGACTCAATTACAAGGGGTCACGAATTCAAGGTGAGAGGGGAAAAGTTTAAGGGAGATATGCGTGGAAAATTCTTTACGCAGAGGGTGGTGGGTGCCGTAGAGGTGGGCACGATAGCGTCATTTAAGATGTATCTAGACAGATACACGAATGGGCAGGGAGCAGAGGGATACAGATCCTTAGAAAATAGGTGACAGGTTTAGATAGAGGATCGGCGCAGGCTTGGAGGGCCGAAGGGCCTGTTCCTGTGCTGTAATTTTCTTCTTTGTTCTTGTTCTACTTAAATTCTGAGTTGACTGCTTGATTCCTTCCTTTTTGGATACTCACCATGGTTGAATATCTGCATTCAGTAACTCTGATACTACTATTCAAGCTTTAATATGCTGTATTTTCCTTGAAGTCCAACATTTATGGAAGAGTTTTTAACGTAACCATCATATCAATGATTTTTGAATTGATAGTGTATCCTTGCCAAGCTAGGGCCATACCAAAAATTGATGTTGTCATCTGATTTCTATGTAATGGCTTGATATGTTACTTGGAAATTTATTTTTCAATTTTTAATTTGTGAAACAAGAGCCCTCACATTGGAAAATAATGTAGTCATAACATGTATGTAAGTTTTTGTTTGTTTATCTGTTCTTGTTTTTGAGATTGAAAACTTCTGTTCGTAACTGAATTTATGATATTTTGCTAAAGAATTATGATCCAGGTTCATATGGCTATTTTAGTTATATTACACAAAGCAGCACTAGTGTAAGACTTGTAGTCAACTGTTCAATAATGACTTTTTTAAATTTCTAGGCACCTGAATCCTACAAGAATGTAACTGATGTTGTGAATACATGTCATGACGCTGGGATCAGCAAAAAAGCTATTAAACTGCGACCTATTGCAGTTATAAAAGGCTGATGAAGGTTTCTTCATGATGGGCCAAATTTGGAAAAGTGCTTTGGATGGGCTGCTGCCTTTTTTTTAAATAAAAATAGTTTACCTATTTGAAAGATCTTTTATTTTTAGGTTTATCGTGCAACACATACAGAATTAAGTATTGTTCCACTTACATTTCGGAAAATCTGAAATTGCATCAAATGTTGTTAGTAGCTTGTTTATTTTGGTGAGTTGTACTTTTTTGTGCATATCTCTGCAGCTAAATTTGCAGAATGTTTCACCTTAATTTGGTAAAGCAGGAGTTGTGATTTTAAAAATCACAATGCAGTGGCTAGATCTACAATAAATTGGAAGAGTCAAACCTTGTGGCTTTTTGTAAATGTCTATTCTTTTGTGAAGAGAGGGAAGAATAACCTTAGTTTTATTAAGAAACCCATCAAATAATTACACTTTAATCTCATACTGTACTACAATGTGCAACATGTGCATTTGATACGTTGCCAGTTTGAAATGGTAAAAACACTGGCATATATTTTGTGGCGGTAATGACTGTTGGTGGTTGCTATTGTTATTCATCTAAAACTCTCTGCAACTTCTGGAGTCCAGACAAGCGCAGAATATTGCAAAAATTCAAATCTCCATGTCTCCAGAAGGTGAGCTGTTGTGATCCATGCACTTGCACGAAATCAGTTGAATTAACCAGAAATTTCACTCTTAGGAACTGTTGGTCTCACTGTACAAGTCCTTGAAGTTTAATGAGCTGTAACTGGATCTTTAATGATGTACTTAATAGTAATTATGAAGTTAGCACCCACACTGGGCCTGAAAATCTAAGTTTAGTTTGTGGAATGTCAAATTTCTCCATAAATTTTACATATAAAACTGATCTTAGATTTGTTTGAAATGACATAGCAACAACACTCATTATTTCAGCTTGTATCTGGAAATATAAATTAAAATGGATAGTCTGTATTTTTTTTTAACTAATACAGAAGCAAAATACTGCAGATGCTCCATCAGTACAGGAAATATGCGGTAGGTTAGGCAGCATCTGTGGAGAGGAAACCTTGTTTGTTGATGTGTGCATGTCCTGCCATGTAATTGATCTCTCATCTGCTTCATAATGTTATTGCTGTATGCAAGATATCCCCTTTATGGGAGTGGGATTTAAACAGTATCACAACAAAGGAATTTTCTTTGTCTGTCTGCTAAAATTGGATGTTAGCTTTTTCTGAAGCATGTACAAAGACTTCCAAATCCATTTGTTCTGTAGCTTTCTGCAGTCATTGTCTATTTCAAAAAAAAAAAATTCTGCTCCTCTACTATTCTTGCCAAAGTTCATAACCTTACATTTCCCCACATTATATTCCATCTTTCAAGTTTTGCCCAATCACTCTGTCTGTAGAGGGATATAGAGATTGTGTTATCCTAACCACTTGCCTTCCCAAATGTTTGTCATCCATAAACTTGTTTATTGTGCATTTAATTTTCTCATCCAAGTCATTTGTACCTATTGTAAATAAATGTGGCCCCTATGGTGCTCTACAAGTTACAGGTTGCCAACCAGAAAATGCCCCCTTAACCCAACTCTGTTTTCTATTAGTTAACCTATATAAATATACTACCTATAACATGAGCTCTTACCTTATTAAGTAGCCTCATGCAATAGTTCCTGACCTTTTCAATATCAAGGCACGCTTCAGAATTTGTGCTATTGTGGAAATGTATCCAGGCAGGCCATTTCAATTGTGTGTTTCTTTGCTGTATGTGCAAGTTCTCGTGATGAATGTTTGGTCCTGTGCGTGCAGAGATGATGAATCAGTGTGCAGATGCAAAATCAATCCACTATGCAATGTGTTGCTGCTCTTGACAGTTTTTTGTGGTGTAGGCACACTGGTTGAAAACCACATTTGATGTATGGTACCTTTTATCAAATGCCTTCTGAAAATCAAAACATGTTATATCTACTACTTTCCCTTTATCTATTCTGCTTTTTTTAAAACCTACTCAAAAGACTTTTAAATTTTTCAGGCATGATTTCTTGTGAAATCATGCTGACTTTGCTTGATCATATTATGCATTTCTAAATGCTCTGCTATTACATTGTGTATAGACTTGAGCCAATTTAGTTTGACTGATTTTTTTTTTTACTGTTACAGAGACCAGCTTTCATTAGTTGAATTTAGATTCCATCAGCTATGGATAATGAGTCTAATGACATTACTATTACACAAACAACTCCCCTTCAAGTTTCAGAGCAGGCATGATCTGAGTGAATTGTAGAACCACAGCTCCAAGGGCTTAAATAGTCTACAATATGTGTGCTAGAATGTGGAACAAAACATTTGTTTAAATTAGCACCTTAGATGTCCCAAAAGAGTTGCAATGTAGGAAATATGGCAGCCAATTTGCATGCAGCAAAGTTCCAAAAAAAAAGTGATAATGAACAGATAATCTCTTTTCAGCTAGGGAGAACTTCCTTCTGCTCATCTTTGGCAGATGGTTTTGCTTATTCTAAATGCCACAGTGGCACAGCACTGCAAAGCACCAAGACAAGCCAGACAAATGTGAATGCAAGATGGTCACTGTCATGATGTGTGTGTACTCTTTGAAACACTAAAGTTACACACTCTGGATTAGACAGGTGAACAATTCAATCTTCCACCAATTTACAGTACAAAAGCTCTATGAACTTCTAAGAAGAGCTCCTAGGGAGCAGTAACCTAGGAATAGGGATTGAGAACTATTTTGCACAGTCTTGTGTGTATCTTGTTCACAATAAAATTGGAGTGACTAAACATCTTAGTGGCAGGAGCAATAGAATGTTTTTAATTCTTCAATTCGGTTCTGTAGTTATCTATTCTTGCAATTGATGTGCTGTGTGAAAAGTCACATTACTCCTGTATAAACTTCTGTGTTTGTACAGTTTGTACAAGCATCATATTGCTGGAACATGGGAGATTAGTAGTAGCAACTGGTGAAGAGTGCCTTCTTGAACTATTAGAAACCATTTGGTATTGCTTCACCCCACAAAGCTGTTATGGAGGGATTTTGGATTTTGGATTTTGTTCCAGAATTTTGACCCACACCCCATCAAATATAACCTTGATGTTAAGGGCAGTCACTCTCATCTCACCTCTCCTCTCCTCTGCAGTTTAGCTCTTCTGTACATGTTTGAACCAAGGCCACAATGAAGGCACGAGCTGAATATGCCCAATTATTGCACTGGAATGAAAGTCCCGAGGTGAAACTTGAATCTTCTGAAGAGTGGCAAATGCAACAGATTAGGCATGGCTGGCACACAAGTGAGCATAATCAAAATTATTCAGAATGAAGTCAGGAAGCACTAAGGTAATGGATCTTTTTCCTCAAAAAGCAGGGATAATTCAAACTCTACCGAGATCAGTGGATGTTTGCTCAGCAAGTGCACTTCTGAATTTGTATCAAAGTATGATAAAATGCAATTGAGGAAAATTAAATAAAGGCAAAAAATGACAGAAGTACTCAAAGTCTGACATCTGCAGAGAGACAGTTACCATTTCAAGAATAGTTCCAACGAAATTAACCTGAACTGTTAAGTCTGTTCTCTCTCCACAAAATCATGCCTGACCTGTGGATCAACAGGGTTGAGGCAACCATGACTCGACAATGTAGAAGAGGTTCAAACGACAGAAAGACGTGCTCCTATTTTTATGATCAGTAGCACCTTATGTATCTGAGAAAAGACTCATTGCCCGTGTCAAAGTAGCTACCTCTGAAGATCTGATTTCAATGACACCTGTTGGAGAAAAATTGTGGCTTTTACCACTATGCAAGAAGTATGTCTGAACAAACCAAGATTATGTAATGACAAGTAATGCTAAAATGTGAATGTTAGTGGCATTTTAACATGGCTGCAGAGTAAAGCTTTGTATTTCACATGAATTCTGGTTTGGATATTTCTAGGTAACTCAAGCTTGCCTAGCAGGCAGCCTGAAAGCTATTATACTGCTAACTAGGAAGATCTGTGTGGCCCATAAGGCCACTGTATCAAACACGTGACTAGGATTTTGTGAGGAGCTGCTCTGCTAATCTGAAGCCCCATCTCTCCAGCGATCCATCAGTGAAACTATCAGCAACAAATCAGAATATTTCTGACTGGAGAAGCAGCAAATAGGGCATATGATTAGTTTAACAGCTCAAGGTCTGATGCTATGGCAGGGAGTCTGCAGAATGGGGACTGTGAAAGCAAACATTAAAAAAAAATTTGTGGCCAGTGACATCTATTCTAAGCTACAATGTAGTTAAAGATAAAAATTCCATTCAACACAGGAAACTAGTAGAAGCATTTATATTTTAAATTTACAAATAACCTACATAGTTCGTAACAAGATATTAACTTTTCCCCCTCACTTTGATCAACTTCCTATTAAAGTGGTAAACTGCAAATGATTTAATAATTGTGCAACAAGGACATTGCAACATAGATTGGGCATGACACTTGTGTGATCCCTGTGGCCTTTTCAATGCAAATTTGATAATTCTATATTGATTTTGCTCCTATATTTTACAATTCATTTAGACCATAGATTGGATTTGTCCAAACATGCTCTTCATTCCAATTCAACGTGACTTATGCAACAGGGACATTCCAATGTCACACTTTCTGCTTTACTTTAAACCTGCACAAGCAATTAAGTGTATTTCCAGACAACTAACAGCTACTTATATTTAAAGTTTTCTTCAAAATCACTTCTATTCAATAAGCAGACCAAACTTCATTGGTCTACTATAACTATACAAGTGTTCTACAGATATACTAAGCTTCAATTATTGTTAATTTAAACTTAAAATTACATACATTGTTTTGTTGTCATTTTCTACCCTCTAAACATTGCTGATTCTGGATAATGTTTAATAGCCCCTCAAAAGGTGCTGTAGTTTACTGCATTCAAGTAGTGAAACATAAAAACAAATTGCTGGAGAAACTCAGCAGGTCAGGCAGTATTTGCAGGGAGAAAACGTAGTTAATGTCGAGTCTGGTGACACATCCAGACTGATGAACAGTCACTGGAGTTGAAACATTAGCTCTGTTTCCCCCCAACAGATATTGCCAGACCTGCTGAATTTCTTCAGCAATTTGTTTTTATTTCAGCTCTCCAGCATCTGCAGTTTTTTTTCTTATTTTTTGTGATACATGCTGACTTCTTTGCTTGACTCATTCAAGGAATTCGGGCCATTGTCACCCGATTATGTGGCTAAGCAGCACTGGAGAAGACCTAGAAATAAATGAGGCAAACAACAAGATGTATATGGTCATACAAGAGCTTTAAATTTCTGATCCTTTAATAGCCCAGTTTAAAAGTATTAAATATTAGAACACATTT